CAAACAAACCCCAGAGAAAACCAGCAAATACTCACACTGGAGAAACTGGGACCTGACAGCATTGGACCTGTTAATGACTTTTTTCTCTTTACATTAAACAGAGAAATGCAAAAGTGCTAAAGAAGCTTTAACCCACATCTCTCGTTACTAAGATTTATCTTCCTAAATGATGATTATTCGACTGTTCATGCTGCTTTATAATCTAATCCTTTCAGCACTGGTTCAGAAAAACATTTAACATTGAAAATAAAACTAAACCATAACATAACATCCTAGACACAACCTAAAGTGGACGATTAAAGACGCTGTCAAAACCCTTTAAAACAACTTAACACTGTACACCAACACTGCCAGACACTGAACATAACAAATCAGTTAGGCTCTCACCCTGATCTGACCTCAGTGACGGCTTCTCATTTAAAGAGTGAAATGATGACTAAATAAGAAGGAAGTTCTTATTGTGCACGCGCGCACACACACACACACACACACACACACACACACAGCCAGTGTTAAAAGTGTGCTCACACTCACCTCGGTCAAACTCATCTGGAATCTGTCAGAGAAGCAAAAAGGAGAAAACCTGATTAGAGTCTGTTCACACCAATAGCCAACTGATCATCAATCAATGCAGTGCGCTGACAGTCAACGTGCAGCACTACAGCAGCACCAGTCAGTGCTGGTGGTGTGAAAACCCAGGGTTTGTTTGTGGTGATCACAAAACTCTTCACATCAGTCTTGTTGCTGTTTAAACAGATGCACGTTTCCTCACAAGGAGGGTGCATGTGTCGTCCCCCCCCCCCAAGTGTTGCATCAACAGTATGAATATGTTTGACAAGAAACCTGAGAGAAACCTTTAGAACTCATTTTCATGCAATATCTATATGTGGTACATGGAAAAGCATTAAGAAGAGGACAGAGGACGGGGAGGAGAAAAGAACAGAGAAAGAAAATGACAAAGAGCAGGAGAGGTAGAACACATGGCTAAAAGAGAAAAACACAAACATGAAGGAAAAGAAACCAAGGATGAGAAGGTGAAAAGGGCTGAGGAGCTTATAGTGAGGAGGAAAAGCATGAAACCATTATGTGAGGATTACTGGAGGAGAAAATACCATTAAACAATACAACTGTCCAGATCAATAATCAGCACAGCAGGTGTTAAACTGTGCAGATCACCTGCATCATGGTCATTAAACAAACTGTGACACGACATGGACTCAACATAAACTCACCTTTCTAATTTTAAATGTGTTAACTTCAATAAGACTTGAAGGTGCAGTGTGTGAGAGTCAGTGACACCTAGTGGTCAGGTAGCAGACTGCAACATTTAACAGAACGTGTTAAACAGCCCTCGCAGCCGTTTCACAGTGATATCGGAAATGTAGGACAAGCTGCAGAAAGCAAGTGCGGCTCACTTGACCACGGTGTGATCTTCAAGAAGGCTGAAGACACACACACACACACACACACCCACACACACACACACTAATATGTGCAATAAAATAATTTTGTTAGGCCTCTTTGTAAAGACTCAGCCAGACTTTAAGCGCCCATCTTGGCCGCTCCAAACACAATAACCATAACTGCATGAAAAGAAGCATGACACAAATCGAAAGGCAGATGGAGTGACCAGGTTTTGCAATCAACGGCTCATTTGACCACAGTTAGTCTCATTTATTTATGTCTTTGCTTTCTGTGATAATAGGGATTCACGCAGTCTTCCTTTTTCTTATGTTAAAGTGCAACTATGATCCTCCATCTAACAAATTATAGTTCTTAAACTCACAACAGTGACAGTTACTTCTTTTACTCTTCCAACCGTCTCCCAAGCCAAACTGCTACTATGATGTGAAAATGCAAACTTCACACCAGTGTGTGTTTTGTCTATTCAGGGCTACTGTAAAAAACATGGTGGCTCAACATGGCAGCCTCAATGACAGGACACTGCTCCTGTGTGGATAGAAAGGGCTCATTTTAAGCTTTAAGATCATTTTATGCATACTGTACCACACTTCATCTAATAAATCCTTCTAGATCTTACAGAATAAGGATGAGGATGAGGAAGAAGGAGAAGTGGCAGTGCAGAGGTGGAGCTGGGGTGTAGGCCTCCATCTGGTGGCCATGATGCACACTACTTCACCTCACTGCTCATACACAGTAACAAGTCCTGTTAAAGTTTCTTTTGACTGGATTTGTGTACTTTCTGGTGAAAAAGGTAACACATCACAAGCCAAACCTTCCTTACAATTCAACCACTTCAGAGAAAACATCCAGGAGACATTTGTAACTGGTCACACTGGATGTACATTATTTCACCTGAGTGAACCACGTGCGTGTCGTTGCATTCATAAGGTTTGTGTGATCGTCATGATAATACAATGCAGCTTGGGAGAAACAATACTGGAAGGAGGTATCCAAAACGGCCTTGTGAAACCTGACAGATCAGTGACAATAAGCCATTAGAGGAGACCGGACACTAACATACAACAGTGAATTGCTGTCCAGGGCAGAGCTGTGAGCAGATACTTGTGCTGTGTGGGTCAGAGTGGACCGAGGTGCGAAACAGGCCGTTAGGACCCCATCGTCACCTCAGTACGACTGCAGCCTGGGAGAGCAGGGAGGACAATGGCAAACAGTGTGACGAAGAACGCAATTACAAAAATATTAAATGTTAACTATAGTACGAGGCAGGACATTCTGACTTATCTAATTTATAGTCAATCACATGCATTACTTGTCCCTGAAAAAGAAAAACCTTGATCCTATTTTAAAACCTGTATAGATACTGTTAGAAATTAATAAATCAGTCAGATAATTATTAGACTTTGTGTTATTAATGCAGTTTGGTAAGATTCAAAGTCTGCTCATGTGTGCTCTGCTTCAAGGTTAGAAGATGATGTTGACTCTAAGTGTACCTTGACACCAGTTGGTTTTGTATTAATCTTGTGTAAGAATTATGTCTGAATGGGTGTTTTAGTTACACATCACGCATACAACATACACACACATTGAGCTACCTCATTTTGTTATGACTAGGTAATACACAGCTGCTCCAAGCACGTGGGGCTCTAGATAAGAGATGGAGTCTGTTGGACGGACTTCATCTGTGTAAGGGGTTAGTCCACAACGGATACATGTGTTAGGCTCTGGGTTTCCAGGGTCTCTCTTCTCCAGAAGCTTGTCTGAAGGAGGGAGCCCTGGGTTATGTTCTGTAATCCTTTTTATACATATATATATATCTTTGTAAATAAACCAGCACTAAAATCAAGAAAGACGGACTCCTTTTTTTTTTTACTCAGATCTGTCCAGTAAAAGAACTGGGGTACAACAGATACCACATGTGCACCATCTAAACTGGAGATACAGCAAGTGGAAGCAGCAGAGTGGCGGCCAGCACACGTTGTCATATTTAGCTGTCAGACATGCAAAGAAGAAAAGGAAGGAGAACAAATGCCCAGTTCTGACCCGCATCGGGTCGACTGACAGAAAACAGCTTAAAGTTTGAGACAGGAGGGTGAGAAAAGTCTGTCGCAGCAAAGACATGCTTGACTCTCGTGTCTAAATTAAAGTAGCACAAAAGAAATGGAAAGAACTTGTCCTAAACTACACTAAGCAGTCACAACTTTAAAACCACAGGCAGGTGAAGAGATCAACGTGATCTCATCTCATGACAATGGTGCCTGTCAAGGGGTGGGACAGAGCAGGCAGCACATGAACAGCCACTTCTTGAAGATGGTGCTAGAAGCAAGGAAAATGGGCAAGTGTAAGGAAGACGGTGAATTTGACAGGGACCAAACCGTGATGGTGAGATGGCTGGGTCAGAGCAGCTCCGAACCAGAAGGTCTAGTTGGGTGTTCCCTGTCTACAGTGGTCAGCAGCTGGCAAAAGTGGTTCAAGGAAAGACAAGACTCACTGACATGCATGGGAGCTGACGGAGTGAGAAAGGCCTAATTCTAACTCTGGTGATGCATCTGGTGATAGTAGCATTCCCCCAGGTTGTAAACACAAGATGGGAGAAGCGGGTCCCAACTTCCCGTGCTTTCACCTCACAGCCTGCTGGGAAAAGTCTGAGTACAATAAGACGTAAAGCTGACGAAGTGCCTGCTTTGAAGAGCTTCTTCCCATAGTTTCACCACTGTTAGCTGCACAAGTGCCCTCTGAGGGGGGCGGAGCAGTAGGAAGGTGGGAGAAGTGTGCCTCTGCTTTGAAGCAAGTCCGTCTGCCTGTTGGCTAGACAGGACACGGCCAGAGGGTTTATAATGTGTGACAACGGGAAGGAAAGGCCTTTACAATACAGCACAGAGGATGGTCCAGGTTCCCACATCCTCATAAAACCTAATGGCTACTCGAACAGTACGGTTAAGAGCACTGATTTTACAGCCATTACAACCTCTACTCAGGCCTAAAATTGGGAGTGTAACAATACATCAAGACCCAAACACGTGACAATATGGATTGTGAAACAGAGAAATGGATGGCGATATCAAGTGAAAACTAACATGTAACTTATTTATGTTAAAGAGGGAGGGCAACAGGCCAGATCTGTTGTTGACCCTGATGCTCATTAGTGTTAGCTACGCTCTAAACCAGGGGAGGCCAGTCCTGGTCCTCGAGGGCCGCTGCCCTGCTTGTTTACCAACGCTCCCTGCCCTACTCACCATTGATTACCTGGATCAGGTGTGTTCAGTCAGTCAAAAGATACCATCTTAGATGAAGGCAGAGAGAGTAATGACAAAGTGAATTAATATCCTCCTCTTCAAAATGTTTATTACAAACCTACCACACAGTATAAAGACGATGCTGACTGACAGGACACTAATCACGTCATTGTGAAAAAGAAACACTAAATAAGTATCTAATAACTGAAGGACTGGTTCTTCTTACCATTGCTAACTCTGAGAGACGAGACAGTCCAAGTAACTTCAAAACAGTGCTGATTTATTCAAAGGATCACAGGTAAAATTAACATTACACACTCAGGTATCTTGCACCTGCAAACTGCACGCAGGCAGATGTAAGATGAAAGACCCTGAACCCACCAGGCCTATACATTATATCTCCTCGGTTGGGCTAGCCCCATACTACACATAAACGTCAACCGAGACGTCTCTGTTACCAGCTTTGCAGCTGGTCATAGCAGTAGTCAAAACATGAAGTAAATCAATGTGTGTGTGTGTGTCTGTTGATTAAGTGGTGTGTAGCTAAAAACATTCTCACGACCTCTAGTAACATGTCATGACTTAAACATAAGAACATATTATGGCTAAGGCTACAGTTATACACGTCATAATAATAATATTAAACATCCTGTCTGCTGACAGTCATCAACTCTTCTCTCTAGTTATCCTTGACCAGATGTACCCTGTAGAAACTCATAAGCATGACTAAGCATTTAACAGTCTAACTAGACATCCTATCTCCACTAAACATTTCTAATACATAAAGTTTCTATCTGACTAAAAATACCTAACATAACTTTATTACCAAAGCAGAAGCTGAGACCACACACGCCACATGTCACAGCCCCATTTAGCACGTGACCACTGAGGACGAGAGCGGGCGTCAGGACGAGGAGGTGAGAAAAGTGTGCCTGTGAAGGCACGAGACACATCACACTGGCACGACAAGTGTGTCGTCTGATGGGAGCTGGACGCTACCGACAGGATGTGCAGCAGAGGGGACGTGTGATCTTTGAAGGACACAGTCCTCCCGGCCGTAAGGAAGTGAACTGAGCGACTCAGCTTTCCCACATCCGCACTTTGTTACACAGCCGCGTACATTTGTCCGCAAACTTGATGAAAGTGCCGGGAAAAAAAGACAGAAAGCTGAAGCTAGAAGATTGTTTTTCCAACAGTATAGGTGACTTAGAGACTTTAGAAATGTTACTGGCCAACTTGATTCCCGTCGCTACAACATTTCATACATATCATGAACGTGGCCTTGGATCAAGTGAGTTTCCCTGTTCGTATCAACTGATCATGAAGGAACCAACAAGTCACAGGGTCAGAGTATCCTGAGCCACATGATGGCTTGTCCTTCAAAAATATCTTCATCCTTGTGTCTATAAAATGATGTAATGTTGTCATTCATTTCCCAAATACTTTGTCCAAGAGGACTGAGACAACGCAGGTTTAACGTGGATTAGAAAACTGTGAAGTATTTTATGTTCAACAGAAGGAAAAAGATACCACCAGGTTTCTGGAAGTACAAGTTTGAGATGACTCTTTGGTCCTTTTGCTGTTAAAGACAATAAGTTTTATTTCCCTCTGGACAGCCCACCTTTCCCCATACGGACAGCTTCAAAGTCCCAGTCACAAAGGCCACTTAGCAGGATGCCGTCCTGAGGCCTTTGGCTCTTTGTTACCAACAAAAGGATCCTAAGGTGAGAGAAGTGTGGCCTTTGAAGTGGTCCATCTTCCCAGACCAACACCTCGGACCCAGTCTGGGAGCTGGCCTCTGAGACTGGGACCACAGACCGTAGACAAACTGACAACTCAAGTCAGATGTTATGACAATATGACACCTACAATACTGACATTAAGGCACACATATGGTATCAGTATTTCTGATCGTAATAATTTGTTTGAATCACTAAAAACAGGTATACTGTTTCCATTTCTGATCAGATACTAAAACTATTTATCTAAGCTTCAGCTTTGTTTGATCTTAAATTATTTTGTTATATGTACTGAGAGTTGGAAATTAACTCCAATGCTCAAACAAAATGTACATTCTAAATTGAACTGTTCCATTATGAATGTACAAATACTTTGTGGTCAAAAGGGCAAAAAGTTACCAATAGGGACTTTAAAACCTACAGTAGCTGCTCAAATCAATAGATGAGTTTGTTCATAAAATACAGGAGGAAAAAAAAAATCACTGAAATCTCACAGCCAACAAAGAGTCAGTCCTTTGTAGCCGTTTCTCTAAAGGTTTTCATATCATGTGAGTGTTTGGACGGACTCAGTCACCAGGTTTCTGAACCAGTTTAGATATCTGGGATTTATTAGACTGGTAGTGCGACTGCCACAGTGGGCAAACGGCTGAACTGACAACTGGTGACGACTTCAGTGTCGCTTCAGTCTGCAGCAGACATCTGGTCTAACCTGGATCAAATCTCACCTTTTTAAAATGTTTGCTTAGTTGACTGTGCACTAACGGTGCGGTTAACATTTGGATCGGCCCCGTTCCTGTCAGCAGCACTGGGATATCAGTGGGGGTTCCTGGAGACCGGAATTGAAGCTCATTAGCGTGTGGAGGTGGGACAACTGGGCTCTTAGATGTCCCTGACTATCACAGCTCAGATGAGCATCATGCCTCAGCCGCCTGCCAAGTGTGCCGCCCGGCCACCTCTACTGCTACAGAAGAACGACGAATAAAAGGGGGCGTTGAAGGTGAGATAAGTGTGCTCCCTTCCTTTCCCATACCAACACCTCTAACAGAGACCACAAAAAGAGGAAAGCCACGTCTGTGCACATTCACGCCTCTGCCAGACAGACACGGGTCACAGCTGGTTGTGACATGTGCCCTTTACAGCACGCTATACAACAGGAAGGGGCTCGCCTGCCTGGGACGTGAACACTGACACACATCAAAGAGAAGTAATGAAAGAAAAGAAAAGACACCTTAAAACACAGGTACTGCTGTTGATGTGTGGAGGATCACACCTGGAGGAGCTGTCTGAGCGTGTGTGTGCGTGTGTGTTCATGTACTTGCTACACCGTGAGGACCACAAAAGTATCTTTTTGCTACAGAGTGAGGACATTTGTGGAATGTGGGGACATTTTGGCCAGTTGTCACTTCGTGAAACACCTTTTGTAGGATTAAGATTTGATTTTAAGGTTTAGTGTTAGGCCTTAGTGTTGATGGCTAAGGTTGGGGTAAGGAGCTAGGGGATGCATTATGTCCATGAGTGTCCTTACAAAGAGAATTGTGTGTGTGAGAGAGAGAGAGACAATAAAACATACCTTGTTTCCATGTTCATCCATTGAATTGGTGCCTAAAAAAAAAAAAAAGTTTATCAGTTGTGTGGAAGAAGTATTTTCTTTTGAAAGTATTTCTGAACGTTACTCCACAGGAAAACCCAGCTCCCAGATGTTATGATGACTGAGTCGATACAAAGATAACATCATGAAATTTGAACACAAGTTCACACCTTCACATGTTTGTAAGACATGTATTACAATCACACAGCGCTACAGCTTTGTGCACGTTTAATATTCAGGTTTTCTCACTGAGTTTGTCTGAAGGGCAGAGCTGGGCGCTGAACTCTGACAAGTGTGTGTGTCCAGCAAATCTGTCAAGGACTGAAAGATTCTAGTGTACTCTTTGATCAGATAGCTCCTGATTTAATTCAAAACTCTGCCAGCCCTACTAAAGACTAGAGATACAAGAATTTGTTCATGAATCAGTCAAACAACATATATTTAATCTAAAACAGTCTGATGTCAAGAGCTTCCTAGCTCCATCTTCTGAGACGTGAAGATCTGCTGTGTTCTGTCGTGCAAAATGTTGGTCAGATAAACTTCACATCTGAACATGTGATCTTGGGCTTTGACAATTTGTGATGTAACACTAATGCATGACTCACCAAAACTGTTTGATAATAAACATAATGCTCAGCTGCAGCCCAAATAACATAAAAATGTACAGTCACACTCAAGAGACAACAGATGTTGTCTGTACTTTTCCCATAAGCCCTGATATTTTTCAACTGCATTAAGCACCTTCAGGAAAGATTCCATAAAAAGGGACAGTGTTTAGACTGAAAAGATAAAATTTCTAAGGTTAACTGACTTTGTCAAGCCATTTGGGTAAATCTGGCTTCTTTCACACCATCACCTCAACCTGTACATCACCAAATCTTGTGATAACAGAAAAACATAAGCAGTATTTCACAAACCTATGTGCTGGGAAACCAATCAGATGTAAACGTGCATAACTTGCCAGAGCATATTAAAATCCCAGATCTCCAGAGTATCTCCAAAAATGACTCCACATAATTCCTATATTGAAATATACGGAGGTTTTGAAATCTCCACCACTGATCCACCTGAAATATTCCATGATGCAGATGAGAGGAGAGGAAAAAATGTGGGAAAGCAAAAGGTGAAAGATGGTAAATCTCTGACATTCAGGGAGACTTCCAAAGTGGTTTCTGAACTTATAAAGCGAAGTGCATCTCCATCTTCTGTCCACGCTGTCTCAGCCACTCCTCTGCAGCCTGTGGGGCTGCAAAGAAACCAATGGTGCCCAGGGTGGCATCACATTCTGGTTATACTTTGTTCCTCCATTATCTTCAGGAACCAGACAGAAAAACAGCAAATAAGAGAAGAACAAACATCGCCTCCTCCCAGGGTAAAAACAAAACTGGCAGGGTCACTGGACAGCATGAGGATAAAACAACTAAAACACCTACGACTCCATGAACACAGCAGCAGAAGCAGTCGGTTCACTCTCTACTGGGTCTGACAGGGTCCTGGGGTGGTGACTGTCCTTGACTTACTGCTGCAGAATGCCAACACTCCCTCTGAACTGCTGGGAAAAGCTGGCAACATGCTATTTCTGGGTTTAGATCCTTAAGCATGACTCCACAAACTGCAGATACTGGCTGCTCTGCCTCACAGGAAGCTGACGTCCAAGTGCTTCTGTTGCCACCGACTAAAGCCCAAACCGGCTGCTTCAAACCTCACTGACAACCTGAATCTGATTCCAAGCTCACATATGCATTTTCTTCATGACAAGCAGATGAAATAACCTTCATTCATCCTCAGTGTCACTCTTCATCTCTGGCTGACAGCTGTTAGCTCCACCCGTCCGTGGGCCGTCCCTCTACACAGGAAGCTAAGGCTGATAAACCTCATTCAGATTAAAGAGCTAGTTCAGGCCCCCCAAAAAATCCCATTCAGCCATGCAGATCAATTTAAAATAATCTGCCATGGGACCGCAGATACAGTCCAATTAATGATCAGTTTATTTTATTTCCTCAAGTCCAGTTCAATTTGCCATCTTCTAATATCTTCTCTCAAAGCCCGAACACATTCAGTTTACCATCACATAAGACAAAGCAGCAAATCCTCATGTAAAAATGTGGAACTAGAGAATTAACCTTTACTTAAAATCCCTACAGGTGAGTTTTTGAAATCTCCACCACTGACCCACCTGAAACCACCCAGACAGAACAGACGGCGTGCGGTGGTCGATACTTCAAAAACACGACATTTAACTAAATCTTTACAGAAACAAAAGGCTTGTTATTCAGGATGACCCACAGATTCTCAAAACTTCTGTGGCCACTCAACAGTCACCAAACTCACCAAATATGTAGACGATGCTGACTGCCCCGCCCAGTCCCAGGATTCCCGCCAACCGTAGCACCATCTTCTTAGCGTAGGCGGTGTTCTCTTTCTGCTTCTTGTCCTCTGCCTGCTCCCCCTCCCTCTTGCCCTGCCCTCCCTCAGGAGGAGGCTGGCCCTGGACAAAACCAAACATTTCAGTCTGACCTCGGTTAACATCAAAAAAAAGCTCAGCAGCTGAGCCCTGTGCAGCACTGTCACACCGATCATTCAGCCTGAACTTAGCATGAAGCGATTACAGCCATGTCAGGTTCGCTCACGCAGACTCTTATGAGAGAGTAGTAACCTCTTCAAAGTCATCACTATATGTTAGAAACTAATCTTTTAGTCATTTTGAGATTAACGACATCACTTTCTAGGCTACAAAAATGTGATAACACGTATAATAGATCTAACCACAATTAACCAAACCAAAGTGGTGCCTTCCACTTTTTTCAGTCAAAATCCCCAAGGTTGTTATAAAGAGATAATATCTGCTATTTTAACTTGCTGAATATGAAATTATTGGGATGGAGGGAGTAATAATAATCAAAAATGTCACTAAACATTTTCCTATTTCTACTTTTGAGAACAGAAACTGAGTCAGTGTCAGGTTTTCTTAGATAGTCTATCAATCAGCTGTGTTACTTAGATCACCACAGACACCAAATGTACAAAGTGACATTAAATTCAGCTTTTTAAAGTACAAAATCGACACCTAGTTGATCCACATTTAGACCTGAGAAGCATAAATGATCATAAATACTAAACATACAGTATTACAGTTTTAAAGATGTTTAAAAACAGTCATTAGAAATTAGAATCAGAATCTGCTTTATTGGCCAGGTGTGTCAGACACATGAGGAATTTGACTCTGGTACATCAGCTCTCAATGTGCATGTACATATCCCCATGCAAGGGGCAAGTAAACAGTAAACCAGCATAAGGCTGTGTAAGATGACAAAATAGCAGTATTAACAAGGAACAACCAGGGCAAACAATGTAAAATAAGCAGTATAAACAGGCAGTAAACGATGCAGACAGACAAAGGAACGCTCATTGAAATGAAATAAATAGGAATAAAAACAGAGTACTTAAAACTAGAGACCTGTATGAATCTGTATAATCTGTACGAGGTATATTTACAGGTGTTGCACTGAAGGTTATTGTCCAATCATACTGTCATGGGCTAAGTGTTCATCAGAGCGACAGCCTGGGGGAAGAAACTGTCCCTGTGCCTGGTTGTCTTGGTGCACAGTGACCTGTAACGCCGTCCAGAGGGGAGGAGTTCAAATTAAACTTTACTTTAAAAAAACACTAATATTCAAATACAGTCTTTCACCTTAACCAATGAGTGAGTGAAAGTCTGAATTTCAATGTTTGAAAGGTAAAGCGAATTCTGTACTGGCAAACAAATTTTTCCAAATACATTAACAGTATCAATCAGCTGTGTTACTTAGATCACCACTTTGATCAGTATCATCTTGTCATATCAACTTTTACTCTTATTAAATAAAGTTTTGTTTCTCCACACTGTAACGATAGGAATTATGAAGAGTTAATAATAAAAGTTAATTTAGATTACCTCACAAAATGGATCAATAGTTTTACAGTCTTCATCTTTTACATATTAAAGTAGTGTATCCGCCTAAAAACAATCCAGCTTCTGACCAAGAAAACTTCCGGCCTAGATTATACTTGTGACATCTTAAGTTAAGGACATGTGTCAAAACATGTTTTATAATGTTTTGCCTGTCTCTGTCAAATATTGGGTCACTTTTATTGATTAGGTAACTAGCTAAATTAGCTATCTACAACAACATAACAGAATTAGTTTGCAAGGCTGTACAAGTCATTAAAAATAGTAATTGCTGATAAACCCCGCCTACAGAAAACAATGGCACTTAATGACAGTTTGGAACTATTGCAGCCATTTTCGTCCCCCTCAATGCCGCAACTCGTCAGTCTTAACGGCTCTGGGCTTCAGTGGATGCAGCTTAAGGATCTGTTCCTACCTTGAAACCAAATCAACCTTGGCTGTCAGCACTGTTTTTCTACCAGATAAAACTGACAGACATGGTTAGTTTAGTGTGTCGGTGAAGGGCTGATTCATGTGGGGGCACACAACATGTCACTTAGCGAGTCATGAGGCAGCATCTTAACTATCTTAATGAACTGATACTAGCTACATGCTAACTCTCATAGTTGGCCAAAGTACGAACAAATATATGCACAGTTTTGTTCGAAATGTGCCGACTGCGCTCAGGTAATGACCGATAAACTAATGTGACTATTACAGGTGGTACAGAGAGAGACTGACTAGCCCACTTCGTTTCACTAAAAATGCATGCTAACATTAGCATGGGTTTTGGGCGCAGCTAACCTGTTAGCTACCCTAATTCCATGTTCATTCATTCAGTACACTGTGGGGCACAAGTTAGGCACTACAGAAAACTAACATTTCTGAAGTTGGCATTTATCCTAACACGACAAATAAACAGTTCGTTCTGTCAGGGAGTGTTTGTCAACGACATATAAAGATGTTATAAGCTAGGTTTTCGCATACCCTGAGGTTCAAAAATTATACTAATGTGGCTCCGATTTGTTTTACAAGGGCATCTGGTGTGGACGGGGTTTCCCGTTGGAACCCACGAGCTGCTGTGTATTCGTTCTCCCCGCCAACATCGCAGCATGCTGAGAAGTAAAAAATCGAGCGCACCTAAGCAGGCTAGTTGCCCCACCTGACTCTGCTGCTGCTGTTGTTGGAGTCTCTCCTGCAGTATAGCCGGAGCCAGTCCGCCCGTCGTACTGCCAGTTCCGGCAAGAGGCTCGCCTGTGAAGAGTGTCCGCACAACATTCACCACTGCCCTTGAGGAGGCACTGGCTGTCCCGCTCCTGAGCCTCAAGAGGCCCCGGCTCGCTCGAACACACATGGGGAACACAGACATAGCGGACATCTTGGTTAGTAGTACTAGCTGCCGGTCAAAGGGACAAAAGCACCCGATTGGCTCGGCTGCTTGACTGACACACAGGAAGTGCTCTCACAAAAGTGAGAGGCCTCTGGACCGGAAGAAGGGCGGGTCTTAGAGTGTTCGGTCCAATCAGAAGAAAGAGTGAATCTGACCTTCGTTTGTAACACAAAACGTGCATGATGGTTGATGGCAAAAGGCAAAGGTCTGTTGAATTATATCACATGATGGCTATTAAAGAACTGTCAAAACATTATTGTTACGAAGTTATTTTTAGCCATAAACAAAATAATGTTACATATTAATGCAAGATATATATGTAAAATTACACAATACAACAGCATACAGTATGTTATCAGCTTCATTGGCTAAGTATGAAACAAGTAATTTAACTGTGTAGTTACACACATTGCCAACAGCAGTTTTCAGAAATATACACAACACACAGCTAAGATGACCCTGATTCTAATATGTTTAAGTTTTAACTACATTGTTTTGTTTTTCAGCACCCTGTAAAATAAAAGCATGTACCTTTTGGCACATAACTCCTCAACTCTGTTGCACTTATATTTGTCATCTGCACTTTAGCCAAACTAGAAATCCTGAAGACACTTCAATACAATGTAATAAGTTTTTTTAAATGCCATGCTATTTTCCTAGCAGTCTCCTAAATTCATGTGGTGTTGCCTGTTTGTTAAAGATTGCAAAAGATCTTGAATGCACTGTGAAACTGCAGCCTCTTTTAGCTGATCTGTGAACAGCTAATGATTTTAACAAGTGCAGCAGCAGTATCACATGTTGAACACCACTTAAATGTGAAAAAAATCACATGTATACATAATATCAACAAACACTACACATACCTCCGATTATTCTAAAGTAACTTTCGAAGCGTTCTAATCCCCACATCTTTAAATGTATTTATTCTGAATTTCATATACTGTGAAGAAGGCTGTGAGTAGTACGAGTTAAATTGAAAGAAAGGTTTAGAAAATACCAGACTTAGTATAGCAGTCTTTAATATTTTTTGTATGATTAAAATAATACAAAGTCCTGCCATGTCAGGTTCGCTCACGCAGACAGAACGTCAAAATACTGATACACCCACCAGACCAGAAGGTGGCGGAAACGTAAAAGAAGAAGAAGAAGAAGACGACGCAGAGCAGGAACACGCGTCGGACTCGTTTTTTCCAAACACCGTACCGAGAATACTGCATCAACAAAAGCTGTTTGCGTCATTATAAAGTTGTTGCCCCAAACTGTTACAGGTGACACAACAATTTGTTAACATGTCAGATTTGGAGGCGCAAGTAGGCGCCATTTTGGAGATAATGGTCAATGCGGTTGTATCAGAAATAACCAAAGTTATCGACGGCTCCGATGCAACACAAGTGTCACAATGTCCAACTGAAAACACTCACGGCTCCTCTGAGAAGGTACGTTAATTAGTTAGTGTTTACTGTTCATTGTTGTCATTTTGTTTGAGCGGTTTCAGTGCTGCTCCTGAGCCCTCTGTTTGTGTTGATGCTCCGTCCTGTCTAGACAAGCAGCTGATCATAGAAATAGAGGAGCTAGCTTGCTGCTGTAGCTAGTTGCTGCAGCTAGCTATCGGCGACCAAGTTAAATTACTGCTGACTAGTGGCGCGTGTATCCAGGCAAATTAAGGTTTAAAATGTTAGTTTGTTTGATCAAGTTGGCACCACAGTCTGGAAGATTCCGTCTTTGGACGCCATTTTGAGGTGGCCCAGGCCTATCTATTTGCTCTATGTCTAGAAAGGTTTTCAGCTACAGGTTTCAATTAACGTTGATCAATTATCCGCTCGATATTTGGCAATCAAATCCTGCTGTTATCAAGGATCTCAGTTGTGTTTCTTCTAATGGGGACACATTCTCTTATTTATTGTCTCATTTCATGTTTGTCATTAGTGTATGCAGTGTCTCTGTTCCCTTATCAAAAATCCCAAAGTAATGTTTTATTATTGTGTTTAAATAGTGCAAGAAGGCCAAAGCTAAAATAATTTGTGATCAAATTAAACAGAAAAGCGCAACCTTTTGGCATTTTAAAGTTACAACTGGAATGGTTTTCAGTTCACAACTTTATTAAATAATTACAAATTAATCAATTTGTTACCTTCAATGACATTTACTAAGAGTGAGGTAACAGGTAGTTACAGTTGTCCTGTTAGTCCTTATTGGGAGTAATAGGAACAATTATAATTTAGTGTTCCTGCACCATGTCCTTGTGATCATGTCATTAGGCTACATCCTAAATGTATTATATGATTAGTAATCTTTGCTCATTTTACAAATCTAATGTGCTGATATGAAAAAGTTATATTTACAGTTCTTACTTTCCCTGTTTATCTGATGAAAGCATTTTTTCTTTGTTTGTTTTGTCTCTGAAGGAAAAACTGCCTGTAAGAGCACTGTTTCATCAGAAATACACGTGTGCTGCCCGTCTTGTTATTCCAACAAACCCATATGGCGGCCGGCATTAGAGTCAGTCGGTTTAAATAGGTCGCAGTTTAAATCTTTCATCATGCAGCTGACTTTTATTGATTGTTAAATGTTCAGATAATGTGGTCGAAGTCATCAGTGAAATTTATGGCAGTTGATTTTCTGACAGTCTAGGCTGAAAAACTAAATTCAAATTGACTGACAAAGTTCTTAGTTGGGCACAGCCCTAGTTTTTTTTTACCCTTTATTCTACATTGACACCTGAGAAATATTTATCCAGTGTATATCTGCCTCTAACAATGAACTGTGTGGTTCCCATCAGGTGATCCAGCTCAGTATCCTCATGGCGTCTCTTGCTCAGGAAGCTTTGGAGAAGATCTGTCAGCTTTTCCATGAATGTTCCTCTGTGCCGTGTCTAGAGGTATGTCTCTTAACTGCATAGATAAATTTGTCTATAGAAGCCCGTTTCAGTCATTTAGGGAAAATATTCTTGCCTTCACAGTAGATTTATTATACAGTGAAACCTTGTATTGCGAGTATAATTCGTTCCGGCAACGTGCTCATAATCCAAAACACTCGTATATCAAAGCGAATTTCCTCATAAGAAATAATGGAAACTCAGATGATTCATTCCACACCCACTTATCCATATAAAAATTATTACAGTAATACAAAATACAGTATAAAGGAAGAATAAAACAAATTAACCTGCACTTTACCTTTGAAAATAATCATGAAGAATCATGGCTGGCGTGAGGGGCCATTGTTGCAGTACAAATACTGACTATAAGAGTGAAGCGCGAGAACCATCGGCTCAGTTGTGACATACGTCATGTGATACCCGGCAGACAAAGCGTACGTAAACCTCACTCATTTATCAAATTTAAATTTTTGCTCGTCTTGCAAAACACTCGCAGACCGGGTTACTCACAGTCCAATGTTCCACTCTACTTTCAAGTAGGATGGACAAAGTTGCACCATCAGGCTACAGTGCTACACACATTCTGTTGACCATCAGTTTAATCCAGATAAGCTGAGATTGTCAGCTAATGCTAGCTTCAGACTGGAGGCTGCATTTTGTTGTTTGTCCCAATCATGCATCTGTAGTTTACATTGTTTCTAGGAAGCAGGGCATGATGGGAGGGGCTTATGGTGCGAGTTCTTTTTCTTGGGCTGCAACTAATGGTTATTTTCAGGACGGCAACCACTGTACAAACAGTGTGATAAAATAATATGTGACAAGTTTACATCATCACATTTCCAAACCCTAGTGGCAAACAAAATGGCTAGAAAGACATTAATTCCTTCATTTGTCTTGCTTTACATTTAAAAATCTGATTTGTTTTCATTTTGTAGGTGACAGAGGGCGTGACAGAGATTGGGGACCTGAGGAGGAAACTAGAGGTGGCAGAGACGGAGCTAAAGCTGGTGTCGGAGGGCAGTGGAGGCCAGGAGGAAGTGGAGGAGGGAGGCAGAAGGGCTCCACCCAACAGGGCAGAAGGAGAGAGTGTGCGGACCAGCCAACACTCAGTGAGGAAGAGTTGCAGAGGTGATGAGTTCACCCTCCCACTGTCTTAATTTTATTAATAAATGCTGAGTGACAAATCATTTCTGCTGCTGATATGTCATAACAGATGTTGGTATTTAAAGCTACTCTACCTTAATTCTTTTTAGCCTTCAGTCTGAAGCTAGCGTTAGCTGACTAACAGTAAATGTGTCAGTCCAGTAGGACGCTCTGGCTACTGCTGATGTGACACAAGGTCCAGTTCCTCCCAAATTAAACCATGCGAAGTGGCTAATGCTACCAAAACGAACACATGGTTGTTTAACATGACTACTGGCTGAAAAACCCTTCTTCTAACCTTGGGGAGGCGACAGTGGTGCGGTGGGTAGAGCAGTCGTCTCCCAACCAGAAGGTTGAAGGTTTGAATCTCGGTGCCGGCAGTCCACGTGTCAAAGTGTCCTTGGGCAAGACATTGAACCCCTGTTGCCCCCGATGATGAAGAGCCATCAGTTGAGGTGGCGCCGCAGATGGCCGCCATCGGTTCTGTAACGGAAACAAATTCCTTGTGTGTAACATACTTGGCCAATAAAGGTGATTATCCTTATCCTTTTTAGCTACCAATGATGTTGGGAGGAAACCTTTCCTCATTTTAACTGATGTTAGAGCAGTTCTAAGAAGGTAACACAGCAGTCTGTCACTTTCTCTTTGTCTCCATTAACATGGTCTGATGAAGCACAATTTGCCACAAAAGTAAAGATAAATAACATCTTGAATGTTTACAGCTGTGGCTGGTGGTGATGCTGGAGTGAAGAGATCACCTATAATTCACTTGTGGAAAGGCAGAACCTACGAGGTAAATGTCTGTTTTGTCACATTATTGAAGTCTTTTTATTGGTCTCTCACTCCCACTTTCTCTTCTCTGCTTCACACTGTCTTAACATTTCTTAATTATGGAACATGGCACAAATCATGGGGCATAGTGGTTGTAACACTTTGGTGCAGTGGTTAGTGCTGTTGCTTCACAGCAGGAAGGTTCCAGGTTCAAGCCCCTTTCTGTGCGGGGTCTGCATGTTCTCCCTGTGCCTGCATGGGTTCTCTCCGGGTGCTCAACGATAAATGTGATGAGATGTAAACATGACATGCTGCTTAGCAGCCATGATACAGAACGATAATGTTCCATATTTTTATTGTCGTTAGCACAGCCTTTTACTAAAAGGACTGAAATGGAGTGGAGACAGATTTGTTTGTATGTGTGTGTCAGTCCAGTCTCTGGGTGTTGAGAAGTCTGAGGGCTTGTGGGAGGAAGCGGTTACCCAGTCTGGTTGTGTGGACCCGGATGCTTTGGTACCTTTTGCCATATGGTAGAAGGATAAACAGCATATGTGAGGGTTGTGTGAGGTCATCCACAATGCTGGTGGCTTTGCAAATGCAGCGTGTGGTGTAAGCATCCATGATGGAGGGGAGAGAAAACCCGATGATCTCGGCTGTCCTCGCTATGCGCTGCAAGGTCTTGCGATCTGAGGTGGTGCAGTTACCAAACCAGGCCATGATGCAGCTGCTCAGGACATTCTTGATAGTCCCTCAAGGGTGGTGGCCACCAGGACAACCCCACCTCTTACATCTGTCCTCATTCAATCTGTCTTTCAGGACAGTGTCAACCTGGTTGTAATAAAGGAAGAAGGAACAGGGCCCAGTGCTGACCAGGCGTCATCTGGTTCTGGTCAGAACAGAGATGAAGTGGGCCAGGATGAGGACGGCGATCCAGACTACCAGGTAGGCTTCATAAACACCTCTGTACTTTAGTCTATTATGCCTGTTTGTAATGTTGAAATAATTTTTTCTACAATTTTTCTGAAGTTTGGCTGTTTGTGTCCCCCTTTATTATATATAGAACATAATGTACACAGTGTGTCTTGCAATAATTTGAGCGGTGTTTTAATTTTCTCCTGTGTGTTGATGTGTTTGAAGGCCAGGTTATGTTGAGTCCGTTAACAGACTATTATAGAGTAAACATCGGCTCACCTTGCCCCAAAACAAGAGAAGGAAATGTGGGTTAAAGAAAATGCATGAACACATTGTAAAACATTTCTTGTTAGCTGGAGCCAGAAGATGTGAAAGACACCGGCCCAGGATACACCACCAGACCTACGCATGTGGTAAAGCCCACGTCCTGTCGAGGTCGAGCCAAGAAGGAGAGTCAGAGTCAGACCCAGCAGACTCTGAGCTGCAAACACTGCAGGAAAACCTTCATCAAGCTGCTGCAGCTCAAAGCCCACCAGGCCATCCACGGGGCAAACGCAGAGAAACCCTTCCGCTGTTCTCAGTGTGGCCGGGGCTTTTCATTCCAGCGAAGCCTCAACGCACACATGCTACTCCACACCGGTGAGTGGTCCGCTCACAAAATCAGTAGGTGCTCTTTAAAAACAAACGGAAGGGGCTGAAAAGTTAATTAGAACTGCAGAACAGGGTGACGACTGTTTGTGCCTTTGTCGCTACCAGTGACCCTTTTCACGTTGGTTACATTTAGGTGAGAGACCACACACCTGTGATGTTTGTGGGAAGGGTTTCACCCTGAAGCAGCTCCTGAGGAACCACCAGCGCCTCCATGCTGACGTCCGGCCGTTTCGCTGTGAACAGTGCGGGAAGTGCTTCTACCGAGCCCACGGCCTGAAAATGCACCAGAAGGTCCACACTGGGGAGCGGGCCTACGACTGCCAGTACTGCAACAAAAGCTTCACGATACCAGGTAACCTGCAGCGCCACCTGCGCATACACACGGGAGAGAAGCCTTACAGGTGTGAGACTTGTGGCAAAAGCTTCAACCAGGCTGACACTCTGAAAAGCCATCAGCGGATACACACCGGCGAGCGTCCCTTTAGCTGCGAGACCTGCGGCAAGTGTTTTATCCAAAAGAGTGTCTTGAAGATGCACCAGAAGACCTCTCATTCAGCGAAGAACTCACTGGCCTGCATGGCGTGTGGCACTACAGTGGCCTGTGTCAACTCGCTACGCAAACACCTCCAGACGCACGCGGCGACTATTCCATGTGCATGTGTGCTCTGCGGCCGATGGCTCAGCTCCATCACTGAACTGCGCACTCACCAGCAGCACCACACAGTGGACAGGCCTCACAGCTGTGGGCTCTGTGGGAAGAGTTTCAAGTCAGCCAGTTACCTGAAGATTCATCAGAGGACGCACAGCGGGGAGAAGCCCTTCTCCTGTGACATCTGTGGTCGCATGTTTACACAGCACAGCAGCCTTAAATCACATCAGGTAGGTTTACCTTGACCACTGTTTCCATAATGGTCACTTTCAACATAGAGGTCTAGTGTTGAGAGAAGATATCGCTGTCATTTGTTGTTTTTGGCTTGAAAACAAAAAGAGACAAGTGTTGCTTCTTTGTAGCTGTGCTGCTGTTTGAGCAGCTCAAATGAGTTGTTGGTAATCAATTAAAAACACCTCAACCCCAGTAGATATATTATGACCAGTTGGTGCTTTGGAATAAAGAAAGGAGGATAAACAGCATAAGTAGACACAGTACCAAAGACCTGATGTAAAAACAGAGCAGCATGTTAAAAAACCTTATATATATCCTGGAATTAGTTTGATGTATGTGCTTGTTGGAGAACTATAACACTTCTCTGACTAGTGGTTGAAGTTCTCGCCTGGCTGCAGTGATGTTCAGCAGTACTCAGGTCTCCCTGACATTTCTTAATGTACAGATTTGATTAAACAGCTTTTCTTCTCCAGGTGGTCCACACGGGAGAGAAACCATTCAGCTGTGACACGTGTGGGAGATCTTTCAGCAACATGGGTAATCTGAACAGACACCAGCGTATCCACACTGGCGAGAAGCCGTTCAGCTGTGACATTTGTGGACGCAGCTTCAACCAGGGCAACAGCCTCAAAGCCCACCAGCAGATACACACTGGGGTGAAACAGTTCATGTGTGACAAGTGTGGGAAGAGTTTTTCCTACCTGAGAAATCTGAAGGACCACAAGTGTTTTTACGTCTGAGGCTAAACTGTGATGAGGCGCCTGACCTCTCCTGTACCTGTCGAGGAATAACTAATTGAATGGATTAGGAAAATAATGACCTAGTTTTCAGTGATTTTGTTTTCCAGATTTGCCTTGTTTTACAGATGGTGGGGATGGACTTCAGGTGAGTGAACCTATAAATTAAGAGCTGTTAGTTGAAGCGAACACCTTTTGTTATGCTTTAAATTTTAAGGCTTCTACATGACATAGTTATCCAGACAGATTTGCAGTGAGTGAAAGTCAGGACAACAAAAGATAGCAGGAAAAACATCATCTGAATGCAGCCAACTGGAACAAGTACACATAACAACCCTGAGCTCGTAAGAAAGAAGTGTAGGTAAATTACAGAGTAGTGAGGACTGGTGAAAGCAGTCGGAGGATTTGATTGGTTTTAATGGCGTTCATTGAAAACCGCAGGAAAGAGAATAACTGAGAAGCGGCATGCCCAGTGTATAATGGTATCAGTAGAGGGACCTACATGTACCAAGAGCCTTTGAGCCTTGTCTCTGCATTTGTAAGCAGTGTTTGCTAATAGAGCTCAGAAACATTCAGCTTCAAGTTGTTACACACCAGGGTTAAAATAACATCAGCCCTTGTTATTTGTAGCTGGGTACTACACAGAAAAGCATTAGAGACAATCAGATGAGCAATGGACTGACTCTTGTTTCTGTAGAGTAAGGTACAAGCTGATGGCCATTTCCTATTTTGTACGACTGGAAAACCAAATATTCGTCATTGTGCAGAGAACCTAAAATTGTCCCCTTGTCCAATGTGGCAAATGTATTTAAAAGATTACAAGGCATCGTCATTGCTTTCAGTGTTCCTGTTTTTATAAATTTTAAAAAACTGTACAGTTTGACTATTAAAGTGTGACAGATTATATTGTATGTAGGTTTTTTCATCCCTGTTTGTTGTAAGATGTAGATGTGTGATGTTAGCCCACCACTAACTAACTATCTTGTCTGTTTCTTACACTGTTTAGATAATACATAGCTGAAATATAACTGTGAGGGTTTTGAAAACAATTTAGAAAAACTGATATATTGACTGAGAACAGAAACCTATTTTGTAAGAAGTTTTCATGTGGGGTGAATATTTGTTAAATGGAAACCTTTTGACTGTGAGTCAGATCGATAAACACTAAAATTTAAATCTTGTATTATTATTTTATTCTTTTACTATCTTTCATAATGCATTGGATGAAACTTAACCAGCCTTACAGTGAGGTACCTTAACAAGTTGTGAGGCTGAAGCTGTACCACTTGCTAATGCCAGTATTTGCAGGCCAGACCTATATGCTCATACATTAAATCCACAGCACATTTTATTTCTTATTTTCCAGTTGAGCTAGAAATCTCGTAATACCTAAAAATCAAGCTTGCACTTTTGCATTATATTGTTTTAATGCAAAATTCCCCTGTAATATTTGATGCATCCATTAATATTGATTTAGAAGCAAATACCAAGGTCAGACAGGAAAAGCAAAGAAAGGGAAAAAGGTTCCAGAGGATAAAATCACTACAAAGGATGTCATGGTGAGCCGACAGCTATGAGCAGCACTGTGAGCAGATTCAGCATTTCTAGTGGAAATGAAGCTGATGAGGCTTTTGCAGTGCACTGGTCTTGTAACAACAGTGGCGGCATCGCTGGCTGTGAGAGTGGTGTATATGCAGAAAGGGGTGATGACGAAGAGTCAAAGAAGCAGGTGGGCTCATCTCCGAGTTTGTTTCTGTGCATGTTGACCCAGCAGCTGATGTAGAGAATCTGTTGACAGGTGCAGTCCCATAAATTACCTGACAGATGGACGGTATTAAGGATTCTCAGAGGCTCCAAAGCTCCGCTCGCCATTGATCTGAGCTGGTTGGATTTCAAACTCAATTTCTGGAGGTTTGTAAGTCCTTGAAAGACATCAGGCTGCAGGTGATCCAGCTTGTTTCCATCCAAGTTGAGCTCTGTTAGCTGTGAAAGACGGGCAAAGAGCTGAGGGCGTAAACTGTTCAGGCTGTTGTTCTTTAGCAGAAGCCTACGGAGGTTGTGGAGGGGATGGAAGGTGTTGAAAGGTATATCATGGAGCTGGTTGAAACTCAACCTGAGCTCTTTAAGGTGACTCAACCCAACAAAGTCATCGGGAGATATCTCTGAGAGGCGGTTGTTGTCCAAGTCCAGTGTTGTAAGATTTGCTAGATCCACAAATAGGCTTGTAGGAAGTTTTCCTATGTGGTTTGCATCTAGTTTCAACTCGTTTAAACTGACAAGGTTTTTGAACTGGTCTGAGTGTAAAGAGGAAAGATTGTTATGAGAGAGCTTCAATGAAAATACTCTCACCAAATGATGAAAAACTGAGGGAGGTAGAGACCTGATTTGGTTGTCAGTGAGGTCTATCTCCTTAAGCTTGATCATCTTGTGGAAAAGGACGCTGGAAACATTCCTCAGAGAGTTGTGCTCCAAGTACAGGTTCTGCAGTGACCTGAGCTGTGAGAACAGTGCAGGGTGGAGGTTCAGGATGCGGTTGTGCGACAGCTGTAGCTCCTTGAGTTTGGACAGCGAATCAAATACCCCAGCAGGCACGTTAGAAATCTGATTACTGTCCAGCACCAACTCTTGCAGCTTGGTCATGGTCTTGAATACATAGGGAGGAAGAGATGTCAGTTTGTTCCTGTACAAATCAAGTATCTTAAGGTTGATCAGGTCGTTGAAGACTTTAGAGGGAAGAGAATCTATGAGGTTGTCACTGAGGTCCAGCTTTCTCAGCATGGTCAGACCTGTCAGCAATCCCTCAGATAGAGTGGTCAGGTTGTTGTTGCTCAAATCTAGATTAACCAACAGACGTAGTGAAGAGAAGCAACTGTCTGGTAGGGTGACAAGGCTATTTATCTGTAGACACAGAACCTCGAGCCTAGTTGCATCCCTCAGGGTCTCAGCTGGAACAGTGACCAGCAGGTTACTACTCAGGTCAAGGTGCTGAAGACCTATCACTCCCCTGAAACTGGCCTCACCAACCCTTGTGATTCTGTTATTTGACAGAATAAGCTTCTTTAATGCAGTGGAGTTTGTGAAAACACCATCCTCTATCCGTGTTATACTGTTACGGCTGAGGTGGAGGTCAGCAAGAGTGAAGGCTCCTTCCAGTCCACCAACCTGTAGCGTTTGAATCTGGTTAAAGTTCAGAAACAGCGCCTTTAGATTAGCTAATCCATGGAGGAATCCAGCTGGTAGATACTCAATCTGGTTCTCGCTCAGGTCCAGTAAGGTGAGGGCAGGGCAGTTTACAAACTGACCAGGATGTAGAGACCTCAGGCCATTGTCGCGTAAGAAGAGCTTGGACAGCTTTGTCATGTTGGGCCAAACTGGGTTGAGGGACAGGAAGACATTCAACTGATTAGTAGTCAGGTCCAGGACCTACAGGATAAGAAGAGCAAACCTGTGAAAAGCCTTGTATGTAGAATCCTATAAAAATACCACAGAGAAAATCTCCATATTATGAGAGGCCCAGCTGAGCATGAATCCCTTGTTTGAAAAGAGGTTAGGCAACGAGCTGTAATTTTGGTTTTGAAAAGCAGAGTTGATAATGAAAGCAGTTTTAATTGTTTAAAGCCTAAAGCAACTTTTTAAAGCTTAAAGGAATAGTTCAAAATTACAGCTACAGTACGAGAAGATAAAGACCTCTCATACTGTATCTGCATGTTAACTATATGGCAACAGTCACCAGCTAATTAGCTTAGCATAAAGACATGACACAGGGAAACGGCTAGCCTGGCTCTGTCTAGCGGTAACAAAATCCACCTTCCAGCTCACTAATTAACATGTGTCCTGTATGTTTACTCGCTACAAAAAACAAAGCTCACAATTTTACAAGGGAATAATGCACCAGATTCAGTGGGCAGCTGGTGTTTGGACTAAAGGCTCTATTCTATTATAAAGCCTCATCCGGTTCTTTCAAACCAGGAACTCAGAGGGACGACTCAGACCACTTGAGTATATAAAAAATATCACCGTGCTGGTTTATTCAAAGAGTCACAGGCAAGAATCCACACTTCAAGTCCGGAGATCTTCCAACCCCCAGGCTGCCCAA